TTATCATAATCGTTTATCTTTTAATCTAATACTCCTTTTATATTCTATTTTCATTATTTTGTGTCATGTTTAAATTGTGTGTTGTACCACTATGACCATTGAAAAGTTTGGGAACATCTAGTTGAGTGCTCCCTGTACAGAGGCGACGAAATCTATATATTAACTAGAACTTTACCCACATTAGGTCTAGGAAGATGAGCATTGGCATCAACTTACAGATTTTTGCCATACGTAGAACTCAAAGAATTTAAATTAGATTGAAGTAATGTAGTCAAAGTTGAGGAAATGAAGTCTATATTGGAGTATTATGAGGTTTGTTTTGGTGATTCAAAGTGAGGAGAGCACTTTAATTTATGCATCAGATAATCACGCGTGTAATAGGCTGTTTAGAAAATAGCTTAGAGTAGTCTCTTTCTATCAATTGTTGGTAATAACATGAAGTGGATCAAGAAAACTAATGCAATATTGCTTAACAAATGCAAGGCTATCATTAATGCACTTATATTCTCTAATGAGAACGAACTTATTCTAAAGATGGAGAAAGGAATCACTAGGTTGAGGAAATGAAGTCTATATTGGAGTATTATGAGGTTTGTTTTGGTGATTCAAAGTGAGGAGACCACTTTAATTTATTCATCAGATAATCACACGTGTAATATGCTGTTTAGAAAATAGCTTAGAGTAGTCTCTTTCTATCAATTGTTGGTAATAACATGAAGTGGATCAAGAAAACTAATGCAATATTGCTTAACAAATGCAAGGCTATCATTAATGCACTTATATTCTCTAATGAGAACGAACTTATTCTAAAGATGGAGAAAGGAATCACTAGGTTTAAAATCTAAGATTTAGTGAAAGTAAGAGATGATTTTCTCTGAATATAGAGTCTATTATATTGTGAAAAGTTTGAATCTTGACAAAAAGATAATGGGAATTGGATTGTTGGTGTTCTTTGGGATTCAGAAGTAAATACTCCAACAATCTTAGTGAAAGATCGAGTTCTGGTTGAAACTGAAATAGTAGCTTTAGCAGTATGAGCAATAATTGGAACTGCATGAAAAACATTTGGCATTAGGATCGATGGCAATAATGGAACACCATTGTCAGGAAAAAAGACCTCAGGAGTGGGCAACGATGATGAAGTCAAGTGCGCGTGATTTTACTTTCTTTACTTCTTTGAAGCAAGTTTTTTTTTGTGCATACATCACATGAATGTAACAGAGCCGCTCATTTTTGTACCAAGCACGCCCCTAGTGGTTCTTTTGTTTTGATGCATACAAATGATGTTAGGGAACTCTACTGTACTTGTAGATGATATGCCTCTCTTTTGTACATCATAAATGCATACTTGCATAGTGTTTGTACAGATTACTTATAAAATTATGTCGTGTTCGGCTTGTTTGCTTAACGAGCCGAACACGAGTCGTTCACGAACAAAGAATCGTTTTGGCAACCCTAATTACGTAGCCATAAGATATTAAGGATTGGGGCAAGATTTAAAACATCATTTAAATCTAATTTAATAATTTAATACTTTTAATTGATTATAAATCTTTGTAGCAGTCAATTAAATTTAAAAAAAATTCTACTCATCAAAGATGTATATATATTTTTTTAGTGTACTAAGATGTATATATGTATATATATATTGAAAAGTCCAAGGGCTGATTTTATTAAAATAGAAATGATACATAAAGGTTGTATGACGGAGCCCAAAAGAGATACCCCGTCCATGCGATACAAATACAATAATACCCCTAACAAAAAGATACAGATAGACTCAATAAAAAGTAAAATAAATTTAAAACATGCAGAAAACAAGTAGCTAGGGATGGGCCAGTTTAAGTCCTGCCTCTTCCCCTAGTTTTAGGAGCGGAGCCAGATAATAAAATTTGAAATTATATATAAATGATTATTATATGTTCATTTAGAAATAAATTATTGATACATGCATTAGTATATATCATATTGCTTATAAAATTATAAAAAACCAACATGTTATAAGATTTCTTATAGACTTGCATGCATATTGAATTATTTTCCCTGGATTACTTTAATTTAGAAGTGTAATCACTCATGGGTTATCTTTAGATTACTCGTTATGTTATTTTAATATTATTTTTTGGTTTTACACATTTAAACATGAATAAAAGAGGAACAAATATGTACAAGAGGCGTGAACAACCAGAAAAGTATAAATTTTTATTACTTTCTTTAATGGATCTTTCATGATTATTTGAATATTAAATTGTTAGTGATAGAATTAGTCTAGCCATGAATCGATTTCTATCGTTCAACTTTCTGATCATCCGATCTCATCTTGGTTAACTCCACGCCCCTGGCGGGGTCGTGACAATTTTTCTTGGATTCTTTAAATGTGTAGATCGCTAACTGGTGTGTCGATCGGAGCCGACGGGGCATTATCGGCCAAGGGTATGTAAGATGTGATTGACTGTGATCATCACAAAGACAGAAATATATGTAAAGAATATAAAGTAAAAGTAAAGTTAAGATAAATGCATATAAATGATTATTGTATGTTCATTTAGAAAAAAAGTTATTGATACATATATTAGTATATATCAGATTATTTATAAAATTATGAAAAATCAGCATATTATAACATTTCTTATAGACTTGCATGGATATTGAATTATTTTCATTTGATTACTTTAGTTTAGAAGTGTAATACTCATGTGTTATCATTAGATTACTCGTTATGTTGCTTTAATACTATTTTAAGGTTTTTCACATTTGAATAACATGAATAAAAGAGAAACAAATATGTACAGAGGCGTGAACAACCAGAAAAGTATAAATTTTTATTGTTTTCTTTAATGGCTTTTTCATGTATTATTTGAATATTAAATTTTTAGTGATAGAATTAGTATAGTAGTGAATTGATTTCTATCGTCTATCTGTCAGATCGTCCTTTCTCATCTTGGTTAACTCCAACCCCCTGGCTGGGTCGTGACAATTTTTCTTGGATTCTTTAAATGTGTAAATCGCTAACCATTGTGCCGACAAGAGCCGACGGGGCATTATCGACCAAGTCCATGTAAGATGTAGTTGACGGTGACCATCACAAAATCAGAAAGGTATGTAAAGTTTTCTTGGATTCTTTAAATGTGTAAATCGCTAACCGTTGTGCCGACAAGAGCCGACAGGACATTATCGACCAAGTGCATGTAAGATGTAGTTGACGGTGACCATCACCAAATCAGAAATGTATGTAAAAAATATAAAGTAAAATTAAAGTTAAGATAAATACATTTAAATGATTTTTATTTGTTCATTTAGAAAAAAAGTGATTGATACATGCATTAGTATATATCAGATTGCTTTTAAAATTATGAAAAAACAACATATTATAAGATTTCTTATAGACTTGCATGCATATTGAATTATTTTCCTTATATTACTTTAGTTTAGAAGTGTAATTACTCATAGGTTATCTTTATATTACTCATTATGTTGTTTTAATCCTATTTTTAGGTTTTACGCATCTAAACAACATGAATAAAAGAGGAACAAATATGTACAGGAGGCGTGAGCAACCAGAAAGGGATAAATTTTTATTGCTTTCTTTGATGGCTCTTTCATGTATTATTTGAAAATTAAATTGTTAGTGATAGAATTAATATAGCCATGAATTGATTTCTATCATCCAACTGTCTGATCGTCTGTTCTTATCTTGGTTAACTCCTAGCCCCTGACAGGGCCGTGACAATTTTTCTTGGCTCATTTGTTGCAAACAATCAAAGTTGGTTATTGTTGTAATTTTATGCGAGTAGTACTCTTCATTACTGTGATCTCACTAAGGCTGTTTATATGAACCAGTCATCTTAAAATGTTACCTATGAGAGACCAAGCTCAATAAGGCTATAGGTACACAAAGACTGATATTTAACTTGGTATGTTTGCAAAGTTCTTGCTGGGGTTGGCCTTAGACTGATATTTAACTTGGTATGTTTGCAAAGTTCTTCCTGGGGTTGGCCTTTTTGACAGATGCATTTTATTTGGATCTATCTATTTTTTGTTGCAAAGATGTTGGTCATCCTAAATGTTTTTTGAGAATTGAGCTTGACAATAACAAAAATAGGGCTTTCTTCATTGAAAATACATTATTCATCTCCTATAGGAGATTGAGCTTTAGGTTTCAAACCTGTTCAGACTTTCATAAACTCTTAAAAATATTGCTACTGAAGAAGAGATGATTGAGCATGTTTCTTTTTATTGAAGGTGGAAGATTTTGATTATGGAAAATTCACATTTGGGTACCATATATTTATGGGAAGCAACCTATTCACACGAAATAGCATGAAATTAATTGTCATTTCTACATCAAGTCTTAAGATAGAATACAATGTCAAGACACACCCCTCTTGAGAATTTTTTTTTTTTTACAATACAATCCATGGTCTTACAATTTGACATTTGTGTTGCTCTTTGGATTGCTATTAATCCTATGTTCTATGAAAGAATCAACCACATTGAAGTTAATTGTTACTGTATTAGAGATTTATTTTTCTTAAAAAGGGTCATTACTCATGATTCATGCTTAGAACAGTTTAGCCTGTATATTCTTCAAAGTATTGGGTTCACTCATTTTTCAAAACTATGTAATAAATTGAAGTTGGTTGTTTTTTATTTACATGCCAAAGGTTAATGTAGAATCCATGATATCACATCAAAAATATCGGCCTACCAAAATAGCTAGTTTCATTCAGCAAATTTCATTTGATGATATATAACTGGAGATGTTTTAGTTATGGAACCGCCATCCTTCCCATACAGTTATCACCATTAAGTGGCATAATGACGATTTAATTTACTGATTAAATGCTATTTAATCCAAAGCATCGTACAATGACTCAGTTTTGTGCTCAGTAACAATTGTTAACTATCAGCACCTTATACTCTTTCATACCTTCACATTTTTTTCACAAAGTATTAGATTTACAATCTTAAGTCAACAGTTTAAATCTTTTCCCTGGTAGGTTATTGGAGGAAAGAAACTTGAACCTGATGCAACTAACACCTCAGGTAGATCCTCATGTGAGTTAATTAAGCCAAAGAAAGCAGAGGTATTTCTCTAACACCTCAGGTAGATCCTCATGTGAGTTAATTAATCCAAAGAAAGCAGAGGTAAATTTTCATTGCAATATCGTTTGCTGATTGCATTGGCAGTTTTGTTAATGTTTTATTTATTTATTTACTTATTTTGCCATTCCTTTAAAGGCTTTTGAAATGATGCTTCATCAAGTTGAGAAGCCAGAAGTTTCATGCTCGAATTTGAATATCTTGCAAATGAAGTCAACCACGTGTACTGATCCATTGGATTGGGCTTCTGGCCATTCAAGTAAAGCTGTTTTACTTGCGCAAAATATTTCTGATGATACTAACTTGGATAAATCTGTTTCTAGACAAGGAGTTCTATGTCATTCAGCGAGTGTTGCTGGTGATAGCCTTTGGAACATTCCTAAGGATATAGAATCTGGGGTGTCTGAGAAATTTAAAAATAATCTATGGTCAGGAAGTCCTCCGAAATGGGTTGAGAAGTTTGAAGTTAGCAATTATTTGATATTAAATCTCATTGCGCAGTTGTACACTAAATTTGGGGCAGTCGGCCTTCTTTCTCCTACTTTGCAATCGCTAATTTCTCTTTATCCTTTCATTTTGGGCTCAAACGGTGATGAACCTGATGAACCTCGTTTATACTTGTGTGAGCTTCTATTGCAGTACATTAATCATAAGATCGACTCAGATATTGAGGAACTCTACCTTTGTTGCCGCTTGCTTGAGAGGTAACTTGTAATTTTTTGTTACTTATTTCTCTTCAAATTTCTTTAGTTATTTTTTTATTGTTTATTATGATGATGATGTTCTTTTTGGTAGCTTACTGTGCCCCTTTGCATTATTCAATGAATTTGATCGTATGCATTAATTGAAGTGAATTTATTTGTTTTGCTTTACAGGATACCGTGTTCAGGAAAAACTACTGATGAGGACACAAATTTCCATTAGGTTGTGAACTTAATTGAAGACCTAGTGTGAAATAACGTTAAATTGTGTCAAGAGATCAAAACAAACAACCAAATAGGATGTAGATGAGATTACTCCTGCTGATATTTGCAGTAAATCTACTATTTTGAAAAAACAAATTTTTTTCGTCATTTATTTATTGGTTGCATGGAATGACATAACCTAAAGAAATGATATATTTATTATTTGAAAGCAAAAATTTATAACTTAGGCAATGATACGGGTATACGGAGGGCATTTACCAAAACAATGTTAAGAGCAAAAGGAAAATGCAATAACACAGTGGAAGGTTCAAATATTTTATTTTAATCGTCTTGGTTGAAATCTAGTATAAAATTGGTGATTGTTGATGATTTTTTTTGCATTCTAATATAAAGAACATGAATTCTTCAATGTACTAGAGATTCAACACTTTGAATTTTCTAATTTGAATAAAAAAATGTCTGTAATAAATAATCATCTTATTTTTTTTATCAAATGTGAAGCAATTGACAAGCTCCAAGAACTTGTGAAATATTTTCGGCGATTGTATCAGCAGCTAGAGGAGCAACCCATATTATCTTGATGGGAGTTTAAATTTGATTTGATGTTTTGAGAGCAAGTCTAAATAGTTGGACGGGGGATCTTCAACCAACGGTGCAAGAGGATCATTATTAGCATCACTTGAAAGTTCATGCAATTGAGATTAAGAATTCTTTAGTTTGGGACGAGCCATATTAAAATCAAAGAATTTATGCTGAAATTATGTTAAGTATATGTCAAGGAGAATAGAATGATAGTATGCTTTCAAATTTCTCCTTCTGCCAATATTCAAAATGATAGTGATTCAATCTACAGCTTCTTTAGAATAGAATGATAGTATGCTTTCAAATTTCTCCTGCCAATATTCAAATGATAGTGATTCAATCTACAGCTTCTTTTGACAAATGAATGTAATATAGACTTAGTGGTCATTTGAGGCTTAATAAAATAAGCAGTTGTTGCTTCCAATTGAAAAGTTTTCAGAAAATTGAAATCATGCAGCATAATATAGGTTTGTTGTAAAATGTGATCCAAACTAGAATGATAACATATTCCACATAACAATCAGAATGGGAGGATCTTTTACAATATGCATCAGGAGGTCATTGATGCAGTATGATGCTATGAGAAAAGCTTGATGAAATCTCATTAGAATCCAATTAAGTATACCCTATTAGCTGTAAGTCGGATAACAAGAATTTGGGAATTTTCTCAAGGCTAGGGAAACTCATAGAAAATTTGTCAATATGCAAGAGAACAAGCGGTTTAACAAATATAATAATCTCATTAGAATTTAGAATATAGGAGAGCAGGTTTGTCTTTGAATGATGAAGGTTGTTTATAGAGTTATGGGATTTTGATGAATGAAAAATGAATAATTGTTAGAGTGGAGAGGGGAAAGTGTCCACATAATTCAAATCACAAACAATATTCATAAAAGAGGGCGCAGGTTGAGATTTTGGAGGCTCATCCATTGGAGAGGAAGAAAGTGTACCAGCCTCAAAAATATCACGGCCCACAAGGGAAGAAGTTGGTGACCTCAATGGGGAGAACTCTTTATAGGAGGAATCAGGATTCAAGGAGGCTCTGATGAAATTGGAAGTGTAGAAGTTTCCCTAATAGTTATCAACTAAAGAGATCAAGCATTATCATGAATTTAGGAGCTAGAATTCACTGTTGACTAGAGAGAGGAGGACAACAAAAGATAAAGGTGGCACATGAAGTCAGAGGCATCGAGAGCGAACACCACTCCAAAGCCATGTGGTGGCATAAACGTCAAAGATAGTCTATAAACCCACAAACCCTAGAGGGAAACCCAACAAGTTGAAGGAAATGTCAAATGATGTAGGAACACACATGCAGGCCGTGATGATCCTATGACCAAGCAATATTAACTCCCCAACTCTGAGCCTCACATGAAGGAATCGAGCGAGCAACAAGAGATGCATGCAAACTTTTGCTTGCAGTGCCCTAATCTCATTGATGCCACCACTCGATGTGATTGGCTCCTCATGATCATCACCACGTGAGGCTTTAGTGACTACTGTGCATGATCCTATTGAGGACCTTAGCCCGAAGAAATTAGTTTAAATAAGTATCATGAAAGGATTTCCTTTTTTTGGCGGTGGGGGTGCATAATAAATCATGGTTAATGTCATTAGCAATTTGGTTTGTTCTTGTAACCGCCTACACATATTTTTCAATGGTGAATAATGCACCATTGTACAAACTCCTTGGAGCCATAACGTATAGTGCATTGACAACTATCACTATTTAAAATATCGCAAAATCTTACAAAATATGGATAAAAATTAATTAAATTTATATCAACATTTATGAATGATTATTATATTGAAAAATGGAAACCTTTTCTTTTATGTTTAGGTGTAGGAATTGGCCTTCTTAAACTTGTAGAGAGTTGAATACTTGAATTAGTCTCAAGTTTAAAAACCAAGTTGTTGATATAGATCAAAGAAAGTATTATGACCATTTAGTCATTTTGATTTTAAGTAAAATTTGAAATCCAAATGTTTATTTTTTTTAACATAAAATGAATGCAAAATACATAAATAAATAAAGGATAATATTAGAACTTTAGCTGGTAGGATCTACTAAGAATTGCCTTAACTTTAGAAGAACAAGAACAACACTTATGTCTAGTGTCAAGATTATTGTCTATTCCTATCAAACCTCTCTCGAATTCACTTTTTTTGTCCCTTTTGAAAGCCCTCACATCACACGTCGAAGCCCTTAGCTTTCAGCTTTGCTTGCAAAGGCTCTCATTTTAATCAATATCCAAAGTCCTTGCCTTTGTTTCCTAAGGCAAGTGTTACATTTTAATATTGTAACGACTTACATATATTTTTCAATGGTGAATGACGCACCATTGAAGAAAGTCCCGTGGAGACATGACATATAGTGCATTCACAATGCTCATGATTTTAATATATTGCAAAATTTTGTAAAATATGGATAAAAAACAATTAAATATACGCCATAATTCATGAAAGAATATTATATTGAAAAATGAAAACCTTATCTTATATGTTTAGAGGTTGGAATTGGCCCTTATAATCTTATAGAGAGTTGAATACTCGAATTAGTCTCAAGTTTAAAAATCAATTTGTTGATATAGATCAAAGTATTAAGACCATTTAGTGGTTTTGATTTAAAGTAAAAATTGAAATTCACTTCCAAGTGCATTTTTTTTTTGCATAAAATGAATGTAAAAAAATAATAAATGGTAATATTAGAATTTAAGAAGGTAGGTGATACTAAGAATTTTTTGCTTTCATTTTAGAAGAGCAAGAATAAATTCATGTATAGAGTCAAGGTTGTTGTCTATTCCTATCAAAGCTCTCTCGACTTCACTTTTCTTTTTTTAACTTTTGAAAGCCCTTACATCCCACGTTGAATCCCTAGCTTTCATCTTTGTTTACAAACGCCCTCATTTTCATGAACATCCAAAGTCCTTTTTTTCATTGTCTAAAGCATGTGTCAAATTGCCCTTTATGTGTCGAATCTGAGATATCTCGTATGCTTTGCATCAATGTAGAGAAAATAAGAAGTAGAGGTGTCAAATTGAGTTCACGGATCGGGTTTGGGTCTGACCCGAAATTGAGTTTACTCGAAATTTTTTGACACAAACCACCATGAATATTAAACAGTTCAGCAAGTCCAATCAGACTCACTTTCAACCCGACAACTTAAAACTTACCCATATAACTCATTTAAAAGAAGCAATAACTGCTATTCAAATCAATTTTAGGTTAATCTCCAGTCAATATTGAGTTGACAGGTCAAGTTTGGGTTAGCGGGTCTGGTTCTGGTCAATTTGGGTTGGCGGGTTAACTCGATATGATCCAAAAAATTAAATGTATTAGGATTCCTAACTTGAATCCGACTAAAAAACTATTAGGCTTAACTTGAACCTGGAATTTTAATTCAGGTATATAATTAATTTATCGTACTTTTTAATTGTTTTGCAACATGTTATATAAAAAATAAGTTTATAAATTTTATGGACATTACATAATTCTCTTGGGATTGTCTACTTATGAGTCATTGAAGATTGAAGATTTTGTTCACTATTCGTTAGAGATATGTTCTTTCACTTATTTTACAAGAAACTTTATTGGTTCTTTAAGTAATATTTTTTTTATTGTTTAATGTAATGATGAAATGTAAAGCTAAAGAGAAGGTTGGGTCAAAGTGTCCATATCTTATATGATTATTTGATTGAAATCATTGATTTTAATGTTAACAAATTTTAGAATTTTATATTATTTTAAAGTGATTTAAAATTATTTCATCATTTATTAGAAAGTTTCAAGATAATCCAAATAGAAATTAGAGAAAGATCGTAGCGCGTTAGGCTTAAGTGCTAGCCAGAATAATTGCAACAATACATTCAAATGCGGACATTATAACAATTGTGTCTTTTAGCTTGTTGATGGGAATTTCTCATTTATATGTTTTTCTTTGGAGAATTGCTAGTTTCTTTGGAGAAGGGTAACCCTTCATCCAGTACTACGGGCCGTTTTTAATTTATCAACTAGAAATTTTTCATCCACCTCAAGTTTATAGGATCTATTTGGATTGCTGACAAAGATTTTTCATCCAAAACCACTTACCCTGACTATGTAGAACATGATACATGATAACTTACTAGCTTTGGTCGAAAGTTCTCTCATCATTGACAATGGATAATTACCCATACGAGCTTATCTTTTATAGGAAC